GTGGAGGGAAGCTGAGTCTGAGTGGAGAGAAGCTGAGGCTGAGTGGAAGAAAGCTGAGTCTGACTGGAGAGAAGCTGGGGTCAAGTGGAGAGAACCAGGGATCCCGGGGAGAGAAGCTGGGAACTAGTGGGGAGGATTTGAGATCCACTGGAGATAAACTGCAGTCAAGTGCAGAAAAGCTGGGGCCTAGTGGAGAGAAGCTGGAGGATTCAGGAATGGGCAGCATAAATGAAGAGAGCATTGAAAGGTTGATAGAAGTTACTGGTGCTGAGATGGAAATTCCTGTTGAAAGAGTGGAAGGGAATGATGAGCTCGAAGGGGCTAAGGAGGCGGGAATTGGGGAGGATGTCTTGGAGGGGGTGAATGATATTGCTGACGAATCTGTTTCCGCGGAAGAGAAAGAGGTTATAGGTGAAGGTAGTGGTGAAGGAGGCAGATGAAGGACTGGAGCTAAAGAAAGAAAGGGAAGCAGAGAGCGGAAGTGTTGCAAGTCAAAAAGGAGACATCAGAGCCCAGCCGAGCATTATTGACCCTGAAGAAGTAAACACGAGAGAGGGAATGAAGAGCTTCTGGGGTTGAAGGTGGAGGCCAGGGCCAATGGAAACGAAGAAGGGTGAGAAAAAGGGAAATGGGAACATTTTGAGGAGAAAGGAAAGATCTGGAAAGGTGTTGATAAGTAGAGGACAAGTGGAGATTGGTTCCTTGGAGAAGAGCTGTGACTTGTAGGGAAATGTTTGAGAAGGGGATTTGGGACGGGCTAGAAGATTTCGTTTAATGTGTGATTGGGTTTACGAGATCCGGAAGAGTGCATAGTGAGAAAAATGGAAAATTATGGAAGGACAAAGGATAGGTAATGGAGGTTGTGAAGGAAGAAGCAAGCTGGAGCGAGCAAAGAAAACTTCTCAAAGAGGGTCCTGAAGAAGAATGAGGGGCTCCAAAGTGACCAAGGCAAGAGCAAAGAAAATGAGGGAAGAAAAACAAAAAGTAAGAAGTCAAATCCCATCATCATGATTATGTTTGTTGGGTTTGAAAGTTATTTCCTTTACTCTTTCTATAACGTGTGCCCTCCCGTGTAAGCCAATTTTGCAATGTGATGGGACAGGCCTTTTGCAGGGCCCCATACATCTGGACCAGGCTCATCCTCATGGATCTTCCGTCTAACTAGCCCCCAAATGTATCCAGAATAATTGCTGGCCTCCACTATTTCAGTCACTTCACCATGATCACCATTTCCATGGCTTTCCCTCCCCTTCGCACATCAAATTCGAGTTGCTCATACTCAATTTGAAGTTACCTCAACTATTTGTGTTATTATTGTTTCCATTTTTGACCCATGTTATATATATATAATACACATTATATATGTGTATATACATTATATATGACATATACGCATTGTATGTATAGACATGTATATAATGATCCACATTATATATCATGTATATCATATATATTTATGTATAAATATATATATATATATATATTTTTTTTTTTTGAGAGAGAGAGAGAGAGAAAGTGCAAGTGGGGGGGTGGGGAGAGGGGCAGAGGGAAACACAGAGAATCCCAGGCAGGCTCCACACTCAGTGTGGAGCCCAACTCGGGGCTTGATCCCACAACCCTGGGATTGTGACCTGAGCTAAAATCAAGAGCTGGACACTCAACCAACCGGACCATCCAGGCGCCACTCCCATCTTTGGCTTTTATTTGCTCATCTAATCACGTGGACTTTTCCTCTTGTGTCAGTCTCCTTTGGGGCTTTCTTTTATGACTTCCACATGCCATCCGCCATCCACTGTCATCCCAGGGAAGAGAGGACCCCCTGAGTGCCTGCTGTCACGACATCAGTGTCAAAACGTAGGTTCTTAGGTCGTGTTTTTCTCTTGGATAGGGATGTAAGGAGATGACAGAAAGCAGCCATGGAGTGTTAGGATGAAAGAAATATTTCACCCTTTTCCTCCATATACTTTTATTCATTCATTTACTTACTTATTTTTAATGTAATTTTTTTAAGTTTATTTTTTTGACAGAGATAGAGAGTGAGCGGGGAGGTGCAGAGAGAGGGGGGAGACAGAGAATCCCAAGCAGGATCCGCGCTGTCAGCGCAGAGCCTGACGTGGGGCTTGAATTCACGAACGTTGAGATCATGACCTGAGCGAGAACCAAGAGTTGGGCGCTTAACCAACTGAGCCGCCCAGAAGCCCCACCTCCATGTACTTTTAAAAGTCTGCAATATTTCTGAGGAGTAGAAACTTCACCATATCATAAGTATCATGACACAAATTTAGAATAGACTCATGTTTTTATTTTGTTTAATATTTTATTTTATTTTATTTATTTTTTTTTTTCAATGTTTATTTATTTTTGGGACAGAGAGAGACAGAGCATGAACGGGGGAGGGGCAGAGAGAGAGGGAGACACAGAATCGGAAACAGGCTCCAGGCTCTGAGCCATCAGCCCAGAGCCCGACGCGGGGCTCGAACTCCCGGACCGCGAGATCGTGACCTGGCTGAAGTCGGACACTTAACCGACTGCGCCACCCAGGCGCCCCTAATATTTTATTTTTGAAAGAGAGAGAGAGAGAACACAAATAGAGGAGGGGCAGAGGGAGACACAGAATCCGAAGCAGGCTCCAGGCACTGAGTTGTCAGCACAGAGCCAGAAGCCCGACGCGGGGCTCGAACTCACGAACCGTGAGATGAACAGAGCCAAAGTTGGACACTTGACCGACTGAGCCACCCAGGTACCCCTAAATTGTTCATTTTTTACATACCCTTTGCTAATTTTCTGCCAAGTTTCCAAAAGATCTGTAAAGCCCATGCCATAGTTTTGTTCAGATAGTCAAACCTAATAGATAATTTATTAATTTCACTTTTTTTCCCCAGCAATTTCCTTCTTTGAGTCCTTTGTCGTCTGGGTCTGAGGTAGAGTGGCTCTGTTCCAGGCTTCCTCCACAGCTACTTTCCTGGACTTCTTAGCCCTTCTCTCTGTTCTTCTGTGTTGGATCTCCTACTGCCTGGATCTTAGATCTTCTCCCTCTCTCTTGTTTTACAGACTTATTTTGGTCAACCACATCCTCTAATAGCTTCCAGAGATGGATATGACCTGTTTTTCTTCCGTATATGAATTACCTGTTTTCTACCACTCTGACGGGTCAGCCTGCCCTCTTGTCTCATTTTCTGTGCTTCTACTACTATAGGACATTGGAGCCCGGTTAGGGCTCTTATCTTTTTTTCTATTCTTGTCCCTCTTTTTTTATTCTACTCTCTGGACAGTGTCATTAACTTTACCTTCTTATCCTTTCTATTGAGGGTTTTTTTTTTTTTAATTTCGATTCTCTTGTTCACTGATTGTTTCTTTTTTTATATAGCATTTCTGTTTTTATTTCATGTACATGTTCTCTTAGCTCTCCAAGGAAGAACTTTCCTGTTTCTAATTGTTCTGTTTTTCTTATTGTTTCCTTTGAATTCTTCTCCCCCCACCACCTTTTCTGGTATGTGTGTGTGTGTGTGTGTGTGAAGTTTTCCTCAAATGTTTGATCTTATTCCGTGTGCACAGATTGGGCTTGTTAATCGACGGTCTTCATTCTTTATGGTTTTTACTGTATTTATCCCTTTATTTTCATCTTGGTGAGGTTTGGAGTTAAACATTGTGTGTTCAGTCTGCCGTGTTTGACAAAAAGTCTCCTCCAGTACATTTTGATTATTCTTTTTTTAAATTTTATTTCTTATTTTTTTTTAAGTTTACATCCAAATTAGTTAGCATCTAGTGCAACAATGATTTCAGGAGTAGGTTCCTTAGTGCCCCTGACCCATTTAGCCCATCCCCCCTCCCACAACCCCTCCAGTAACCCTCTGTTCTCCATATTTATGAGTCTCTTATGCTTTGTCCCCCTCCCTGTTTTTATATTATTTTTGTTTCCCTTCCCTGATGTTCATCTGTTTTGTCTCTTAAAGTCCTCATATGAGTGAAGTCATATGATTTTTGTCTTTCTCTGACTGACTAATTTCACTTAGCATAATACCCTCCAGTTCCATCCACATAGTTGCAAATGGCAAGATGTCATTCTTTTTGACTGCCGAGTGATACTCGATTGTATATACATACGACATCTTCTTTCTCCATCCATCCATCGATGGACATTTGGGCTGTTTCCATACTTTAGCTATTGTTGATAGTGCTGCTGTAAACATTGGGATGCATGTGTCCCTTCGAAACAGCACACCTGTATCCCTTGGATAAATACCTCGTAGTGCAATTGCTGGGTCATAGGGTAGTTCTATTTTTAGTTTTTTGAGGAACCTCCACACTGTTTTCTAGAGTGGCTGCACCAGCTTGCATTCCCATACATTTTGATTATTCTTAATTGAATTTTCAAGTGTAACCCTGATTTTCATCTTGAAGGTAACTTACTATTTCCTTTATGAATTTTCCTGGGTCAAAGTGACTAACGTAGCGAACAAATAAACCTCAGCACACAGCAAAGTACTAGATCAGTTATTATAAACATGCTGTAATTGCTCTCATCTTAAAACAACAATGCATCTTAAACCTGTTATCTCATCTTTAAAACAACACAAAGCCTCTCTTGACCACACACATATTCCCCTCTGGCTACCGCCCCACTTTCCTGGTTCCCTGTGGTAGGCACAAAAGTGGCCCCTCAAAGAGATACTCACTTCCTGATCCCAGGAACCTGTGCATATAGCCTCATATGACAGAAGGGTGAATATTAGTTGACATGGCAAAAGATATGATTAAGTTACAGATCTTGAAAGGGGGAGCTTATGCTAGATCATCTGGGTGAGCCCTAAATGCCATCACAAGCATCATTATATGAAAGAGACGAAGGAGATCAGACACAGAGAAGAGGAGGCGGCCATGTGAGCCCAAAGCCAGAGGCAGGAATGGTTCGGCCACCAGCAGTTGGAACAGCAAAGAATGGATTCTCCCTCAGAGCCTCTGGAGAGGGTGTGGCCCTTGCCAAGGCCTTGATTTTGGACTTTTGGCCTCCAGAACTCTAGTCTCCAGAGGGAATAAATTTCTGTTCTTCTAAGCCATGCAGCTTGCGGTAATTTTTTACAGCAGCTCTAGGAAACTAATACATTCCCTTCACAGCAGGATTCCTCCAAATAGTTGTTTACCCTTTTTCTAATCTTCTCCCTTCCTTTTTATCCAGCTGTTTATATTGGACTTTTAAAAATATACAGAAAAGTTGAAAGTTGAGAGCAACTAACTATTCTTTGCCTGGATGTAACAGTTGGTAATAGTTTGCCCTGTTGTGCTTTGTCAGTACCTCACGGATCTCCTAAGAACGAAGACATTCTCCTACAGGGGCACCTGGGGGGCTCAGTCAGTTAAGCGTGGGCCTCTTGATTTCAGCTCAGGTCATGATCTCACTGTTCATCGTGAGTTTGAGCCTGATGCTGCTCTCTGAGCTGACGGCACAGAGCCTGCTTGGGATTCTCTCCCTCTCTCTCTGCCCCTCCCCAACTTGAGGTGTCCGTCTCTCTCTCTCTCTCTCTCTCTCTCTCCCCTCAAGATGAATAAGTAGGGGTGCCTGGGCGGCTCAGTCGGTTAAGCCTCTGACTTCAGCTCAGGTCATGATCTTGTGGTTTGTGGGTTTGAGCCCTGTGTCGGGCTCTGGGCTGACAGCTTAGAGACTGGAGCCTGCTTCAGATTCTGTGCCTCTCTCTCTCTCTCTCTCAAAAATAAATAAACATCAAAAAAAATATTTTTAAGATAAGTAAATAAACTTAAAAAAGTTAAAGACACTTTCCTCCATATCCACAACACCTAAGTAAATTAAAAAATTTTAAATTTAATAAATTAAAAATTGAGAATAATTCTTTAAAAGCATCTAATATTCAATCTATATTTAAATTTCCTTCCAAATAAAATAAAATAAAATAAAATAAAATAAAATAAAATAAAAATGTCCTTCCTTGTCCCCAAAAGATCTTTTATAACCTTTTTTCCTTGACCCAAGCATGCATTCAGGGCTAATGTATTGAATGTGTTTGTTAACTCGTTTTAATCTACATTAATTTCCTCTAATTTTGTTTTTAACAGCTTTGACTTTTTAAAGAATTTAAGCCTGTTTTCTTAGATGTCTAGCATTCTGGATTTGTCTAGTTGTGTCCAGATGGTATCATTTAGTTCATTCTTCTATCCACTGTAGTTCTCATGTACTAGAAGTTGGAGCCATAGGCCCTGGTTTCTTTCTCTGTAGCACTTATCACCTCTGACTCAGAATTTTCCTTCTGTCCTTTTTTTATTATCATCTCTCCCCAGTAGAATATAAGCCCCATGAGGGAATCAGTGTGTGCCTGCTGGGTTCCCTGTTCTAGTCTGCTGTCTAACCAACACATAGTAGGCACTCAGCATGTGTTTGTGATATGAACTAAAGTCATATTAAGTGACTTTACCTGTGTCAATACTATTTAACATCTAATGGGAAATTGCTAGAATAATTTACCCTGTTCCTTAGAATAAATCACATTTTTTGAGGCCTCAAATGCCTGAAAATATCTTTATTCCAAATTTGAGGTTTGTCTAGGTACAGAATTTTCCCTCGGTAGTTTGAAGACATGCCCCTTTGTGTTCTTCCTTCACTCATGGCCATTGAGAGTCCATCATTGAGCCATTGCACACGAGCAGGCGCTCTGTATATGTGGTGTTTTCTTCTCCTTGCCTCTGTTATTTCTGCTAATTTACTGGTCAGATGTTTATAGCTTGCTTATCCTTCTATTCTCTAGGAACTCTGATCCCATAGTTGGACAATAAAATAGACATAGTTGGTGTGGGCAGAATTGTAAAGATAAGCTACAGAAAGCTCAGCCCTAGAAGTAGGATCTTTTTGCAAGTGGTGACAGCTAACATTTCCCGAATTCTTCTGATAATCTGAATAATTTCATAGGCACCATGCTAAGCACTTTACATGCTCCCTGTCATTTCATCCTTCCAACAACTAACTCTCTGAGACGGGAACTATTACCGTGTCAACTCCACTGGGTAGAAACTGCCAGGGCCATGCCCTGAGCCCACAGCTGCACTGGAAGCCACCCTGATGAACTGCCCCCTCTGTTCCTACGAGACAAGGCCTGCTACTGGGTTTCTCAGCCCGCCAAAGCAAGGTCTGCGATCCTGCCCTGGGGGCGGGGAATGAGGCGGGGCAGCAACCCGGTCCAGCTCTTCAGTGAGGCGTGTTGAACGAGTGCTTCGGTGGCAAGTTTTAAAGAACATAAATGCCAAAAAGCAGTGATGTTTATTTTCTTTCCCAGATCTCTGCCTTCCCAAGATCATCTGCTCCTAGCCTCGTCTGGTGATTCTCTGAGCACCGAGAAGTTGTTGCCTCTCTTAAAGGAGGCCCACACAGGCACGAGGTCAGGACAGTTGTGTGGGGCTCTCCAAGTGCACCGCACAATATATAAATGACGAAGGAAATAATCAGACCTGTTCTTTGGATGGATTACATTTTCTCCTGGGACACCAGATGCATTCCACTGAGGCCACAGAAAGGAAAAGGATTGAGACGCCACGACAAACGGAGGCCACCTTGTAAGTGCCGATATTTTCAATCATCTAGATAGCTGGAACTTTATAGATGTAATATCCTTTAAAATTAACCAAAATGCACACATTTGAGGGCATCGAGGCTCTCGAGTGATTTTATGTATCTCTATTATCCTGTTCTTTCTTTGCATATTTGCCAAAGATCCTGTTTCTTGCAACGGGATGTGTTAAAAATGACTTTATGAAAAAGAAAATGACTTTATGGTTTGGCTTGTGTTTAAGTGCCCCCCTTTGCCGGTCCCATTAATTCATTCAGCAAACACTGAACACTTACTGTGTGCCAGCTGGGAATGCAACAAATGTGAAGGACCAGGTTCTTGCCCTTGGCCACCTGTCTCTTGTTGACACAGACCTCTCAACACGTAGATGTCCGTGCACTGTGAGGCGGGCGAGGAGGGCGCTATGTACTAAGAGTGGTGTGACTGCAGAAGGGGGAGGGCCTGGCCTTGCGGCTGGTGGCGGGGGGCAATCAGAGAAGCCTTCCTCATGGAGGTGACCACTTGGGGCTGGACTTAGACGGGTGAGAAGGGGTCCACACTGGGTGAGGAGAGGACAAGCAAACATTCTCAGAAAGAAGATTGCTGAGGACAGTGACTGGGGACTGCATGGCTCAGTCAGGAGAGGAGAACAGTCATTTGGTGCAGGCGGAGCAGAGAGAGTATTATAGAGACTGGCACACTCTGGAAAACAGTATGGGAGGTTCCTCAAAAAATCAAAACTAGAACTACCCTACGACCCAGCAATGGCACTGCCAGGTATTTATCCAAGGAATACAGGTGCTAGGTACCTAGCAATGGCACTAGGTATTTATCCAAGGGATACAGGTGTGCTGTTTCGAAGGGACACGTGTACCCCCATGTTCATAGCAGCACGATCGACAACAGCCAAAGTATGGAAAGAGCCCAAATGTCCACCGATGGATGAAATGGATAAAGACGATGTGGTATATCTATACAATGGAGTATTACTCGGCAATCAAAAAGAATGAAATCTTGCCATTTGCAACTATGTGGATGGAACTGGAGGGTATTATGCTAAGTGAAATTAGTCAGTCAGAGAAAGACAAAAATCATATGACTTCACTCATATGAGGACTTTAAGAGACAAAGCAGAGGAACATCAGGGAAGGGCAACAAAAATAATATAAAAACAGGGAGGGGGACAAGACAGAAGAGACTCATAAATATGGAGAACAAACTGAGGGTTACTGGAGGGGTTGTGGGAGGGGGGAGGGGCTCAATGGGTCAGGGGCATTAAGGAATCTACTCTTGAAATCACTGTTGCACTATATGCTAACTAACTTGGAGGTAAATTTAAAAAAATAAAATGATAGAGACTGGCAGGATGTGAGCTTGGCATAGCCTGGGGACAGCCTTGAATGCAGGGTTAAGGAAGTTAGCCTTTGCTCTGTAGGCGACAGGGAGAATGACACCATGAGATCTTTGCTTTACATGGCTTACCAAGCTGAGAGATGTAATCAACAGGGTGCAGCATCAGGGGGGCTCAGAGTGGAGCACTGAGTAGGTGCTCAATAAAGCGGGAGATATGATTATTAGATCATTAGAATGAACAGTTCAAGGGGCACCTGGAGCGTCTGACTTAGCTCAGGTCATGATCTTCCGGTTCATGGGTTTGAGCCCCACGTCAGGTGCTATTGCTGACAGCTCAGAGCCTGGAGCTTGCTTTGGATTCTGTGTCTCCCTCTCTCTCTGCCCCTTCCCCACTCATGCTGTCTCTCTGTCTCAAAAATAAGCAAACATGAAAAAAATAATAAAATAAAATAAATACACCTTAAAAATATTAAAAAAAAAAAGAATGAACAGTTCGAGGTAGAGAGGTCAAGGCTATGAACTAAAGCAGAGAAAGTGGGGACAAAAACCAGAGGATAGATTGGAGAGGGTTTTAGAAGTCCTGTTGAACAGGCTTGCTAATTAATTGTGAATGGCTGGTGAGGAGGGAGGCACCACACTTAGGGACAGCAGTAGCTGATGCATATCATCTGGTGCTTACTCTGTAGTTAGGCACTTTGCCCTAACTCATTTCATTTAATCCCATAATAGCCATAATAGCCCTATTAGAGGGATTGTATTACTATTGGCATTTTATAGGAGAGGAAGTTGGAGCCTGGAGTGCTCCACCAAGGCGACAAGGCAGGTAGAGTGTGATAGCGGTTAGGATTTGAACCCAAGAGAATCGGCGCCCTTAGCTGCTACACAGCTTCAGCAGCTGACTGAATTTCGGGACCAGCCGATTGGGATGTGAAGTGACCACTTCAGAAAGCAATTACACAAGGGGCAGATTAGGGCCTAGAGCCCGCTGAACCCACCTTCTGCCCCCCCCAGAGCTCACAAACAGGCCGCCGGGTACCCCATCAGGCCATAGCCGTGTTGTGTTTGTCTTACAGAATATTTTTAAAAACATTTTTAGAACTGATTGCTAATGTTAAAAAAAAATCTAGAGAGTCACATTAAAGCCTGCTGGATTATTTTTATTATTATTATTATTAATTTAAATATTTTATTTTATTTTATTTATTTTTTGTTTTTTTTTTTTTAACATTTATTCATTTTTGAGAGTGAGACAGACAGAGCATGAATGGGGGAGGGGCAGAGAGAGAGGGAGACCCAGAATCCGAAGCAGGCTCCAGGCTCCGAGCTGTCAGCACAGCACCCAACGCGGGGCTTGAACTCACAGACTCCGAGATCATGACCTGAGCTGAAGTCGGACGCTTAACCGACTGAGCCACCCAGGCACCCATTTTGTTTATTTTAGAGAGAGAGAGAGGGTGCAAGTAGGGGAGAGGGGCAGAGGGAGAAAGAGAGAATCTTAAGCAGGCTCCATGCTCAGCGCAGAGTCTGAAATCGAGAGCCGGCTGCTCAACCGACTGAGCCAGCCAGGGTCCCCAGCCTTGATTATCTTGAAAAGTGAGAAAATCTGGCCATACTGGGCCCATATAGCAACCCTGGCTGCCTATTCTGTGTTTCCTTCAGCTGGGACCCGTGCTCTCCCGTTGGCCAGAGCTCACCGGCCTGGGGTCCCTGCCCACCTCCACGGGTGCCGGAGTTTGCATCCCTCGGCCACAAGCTGATACGAGACTGTTTTTGTGCATTTCATCCTGTGTCAAGCCCAGGCCTCCACTGACGGTTAAATTCTCCTTTTGAACTTCAGGGAATATAAGATAAAAACAAACAACACGTTTTGCTTTGTTTGCTTTTTCCCTTCATGCTGTGGGAATTGAGAAAAAATAATTACCCACCCGCACTTGAATGCCCACAGGCGGAGGGCCACGTACAGGCAGTGCAGGACGAAAGTGAACGGTCACAGTTCCTGAAACCAGCACCAGGTGAAAGGAAATCTCAGTCGTGCCGTGGAAAACAGCAGATGTAATGGCAGCTCTACAAATCATGCCGTGACTTCTTTCTGTCGAATTTGTTCGGAACTTAATAATTTGCCTGAGTTTTGAACCGGCTTCTTTGGGCATGTTACAAGGAAGCACGTATTTTTAGAGGAAAATACGTGTGCACGTATGCATGTGTGTGAGGCGTGCGTGGGCCGTAGCTTACACTCCGTAGCTTGGGATTCTCTGCAGGGGTTGGATTTCAAAATTTTATGTTAAAATTTTTATGATTTATTCAAGATTTGAAAAGATGTTTCTGTGCCACTAAGTTAAAATGTGAGGCACAGGGCGGCAAACATGTTCCCATAGTCAATATTTTTTTTTTATTTTTATTTTTTAACGTTTATTTATTTTCGAGACAGAGAGAGACACAGCATGAACGGGGGAGGGGCAGAGAGAGAGGGAGACACAGCATCCGAAGCGGGCTCCAGGCTCTGAGCGGTCAGCACAGAGCCCGACGCGGGGCTCGAACTCACGGACCGTGAGATCGTGACTTGAGCTGAAGTCGGACGCTTAACCGACTGAGCCACCCAGGTGCCCCCCCATATTAAATGTTTTGTTGCACCAAAGGTGTAACCATTCCCGCAGCAGCGGTCAGCTTGGATACATGATGGATTTTATGCTTGTGTGGTTGTCTGCAAGTCGTAAGCTACACTCGGAGACACGGGTTCAAATGAGAAATAGAGCTGACGTCAGAGTTGTAGGAGTTTGACTCCCAATCTGTGTTGTTTGTAGTGACACCAGACAGTTTCCCCTCACGCCACCTGATTCAGGAACTGGAAGAAGGCAGCCGCTGCGGCTGGGCTGGAATGTCTCAGGCCACCGAGCACCATTCTGGGAGGGCCCCTGGGTCTCAGAGTTCACTGTCCATCTCAAAAGGGTCATCTGTTCTGTTAGACCACACCACCCCCACTCTCGAGAGGCCAGCCCCGCAAGCTTTCCCCCGGGGGGTTAGACGTGAGTGCGCAGGTTCGAGGTGCAGATCAATCCGGTCTCTGGAGCCGTTCCTACACAGATTACACCGGCTCCTGAGGTCACACTGCTGTGCCTTGGACTCTGACCCCTGCCTAGAACATTCTTCTTCCTCCTCTCCTCCCTCCTCAGAGACTCCCTACGCCTGAGGTGCACACCCAGGGTGGGACCCGGGCGTGTGTTGCGGCCAATTCTTCCGTTTGACCAATTCTTCCATTCTTATCCGCGTCACTCGGAATCCGCTGTTCCTTATTGATATCATGTCGGTACCAGGTACTCGGCACCATGCTGACAGCCAGCGACACAACAGACGGGTGCCCTGCTCCTGGGGACAAGAGGAGCATGCAGCGACTCGCTCGTGAGCAAGGTGGCACTTGTCACAGGACTCGAACAACTGGTGTTTTATCTCAGCCACATTATAATTTCATTTCTGTGGTGAGGCCTAAAAAGCCTAGGCGCCCCAGAAGATCGGCCAGGCGCGTGGTAAAATTCTACTTCTTCCTTCATTTACCAAATATTTGCTAAACACCCATTACTTGTCAGGCGCTGTGCGGGATGTCAGGATTATAACAGAGGACAGAACTGACACATTTGTCACTTGGAACTTGCGCTGTCA